ACCTCAGAGCTTGATGAGATTGACCCCTGCTTTGATGATCAACCTCCTGGAGGAACTTTCAAGGCGACCACAGCAGTAGGAATGTCACCTACCCAAGCCAGCCAGGTTGACCATCCGGGTCAACCCTGCAATCCTAACCTTCAAGCTACTCGACCTACTCGTGCAAGGATGCTACCTGTAAGGTTTGATGACTATGTACTGGGCTATGTTGGGCCTATAACTTTTGTCTGACTGTGAGCTTGCTAAAGCTTATGATGTTTAAATGTTATGACAGTTAAAGACTTTGGGCATCTTAGTTTATTGTTGTTTTGCTCAACCATGTGTGAACTCATGTTTAAAAAAAAGGGAGAGATGTAGTGTTGGTGGATTTACCCACCCCACCCCTGTTAGGTTTGCAAGCGTGCGAGTGCGCATGTGTGTAATAAAGAGACGAGCATCAAAGCACATGGTTTAGTGTAGTTGATTATTATTTAGAAAATACACCACAATATCTAAAAAGGAAACCGAAAAAGAGATTTTAAACAGGACCAGTAAATTGTTTGGTATTCCTGAAAGTATTAAGAAAGTTATTCTGCAAAAATACTACGAAGACTGGGAAGATTGGCTTCATATTGCCTTTGGTGATTTACATGACAAAGACAGAAAAAATTAATTTCTGCATGTCATTGTCAGCAGGTTTAACTTGTCTTTATTTTCCTCTTTTTTTCCTTTTTTTTTTCTTTCTTTTTGGCCGAAACTTAAATATAATCACCTTAAAAATGCGATCCATCATTCTGAGGCTATAAAGTTAGCAATAATCAGTCTTTATCACACATTTTTTTTCTTCTAGGTACTCATGTCTTAAATTTGCACAAAAAAACTCTAAAACCTTGTTTAAAAACCTTACGTTAAAACATAAGGATTATAAAATACTAAGTATAAGAGTTTCAACTCAAAGTCTTTTGTCGTTGAAATAAGACAAGTAAGCTTATAGTATATAACGATAAATAATTCAAGTTACACAGCACTTTGGCCCGCCATTTTGGGAGCAATGGAATTCACAGCATTGAAATTCACAGCATTGATGATAATAATAATAAAAATAATAATGATATTTTATATAGTGTCAATATCCTGGAGAGTTCAACAACACTTTACATTACATTTAGCATAAAAAATTTAAAAATAATATAATATTCAAATATTTCAAAAATTTATTCAATTTCAATCAATTTCAATTTCAATTTTCATTCAATTTCAACATTAATATAAATACATATGCAAATGAAAATTATWAAAAAAAACTTTACATAAAAATATGTATCAAGAGTACTAGTAAGCCTTCTTAAAAAGTAAGGTTTTAAGATCACACTTAAAACTCAAAATATCTCTGCATGACCTCATATGTGCAGGAAGGGTATTCCATAGTTCTGGCGCAGCATTTGAGAATGCTCTTTTACCATAGGATTTAAGTTTGAAAGAACCTTTGGTTAAAAGATTGGATGATTGCGATCTCAATTGATGAGCTGGCACATACGGTTTTAACAGTTCATTAAGATATGAGGGAGCACAATCATTCACAGCCTTGAAAGTTAGTAAAAGTAACTTGTAGTCAATTTGTTGTTCAACAGGCAGCCAGTGTAAGTGATAGAGAATGGGCATTATATGATCACATTTGTGACTGCAGGATACTAAACGTGCTGCTGCATTTTGAACCAGCTGAAGTTTTTCAATTAAGTGTTTTGGCAACCCATACAACAAAGAATTACATAAGTCAAGTCTAGAGGAAATGAATGCATGGACTAGAGTTTCACAGGCTTCAAAAGAAATATATTTACGGATTTTCCAAATGTTTCTAATGTGGAAGAAACATGATTTGCAAATGGAGGTGATCTGGTCTTCAAGAGGCATTTTGTCATCAAAGTTGACTCCTAWATCACGAACTGATGATGACGAAGAAATATTATGATCACAGCATTTGATAGAATCAATAGGTGGCCTGGGACGATGAGCAGCCGACAGTACAGCAATTTCTGTTTTGTCAGTGTTCAATTTGAGCTTGTTTCTAGTCATTCAATTATCCATTTCGCTTACACAAGACTCTATTCTGAATTTGGCAGATTCCATTTCGGCAGAAGAGGATATTTCAAATGTGATGTACAACTGAGTATCATCGGCATACAAGTGAAAATCAATATCATGTTTTCTCAAAATGTCCCCAATAGGTGTTATGACGTGTACATCAAAAACAAAATGGGACCCAAGATAGATGCATTGACTACAATGTATACACCTCACAGATAGCACACTAAGAGTTAATTTTCAAATAAACTATTTCACAAATAAACTATCTGTTGTTTCAGCATTGTGTATTTATCTTTCATTTCATAAATGCTGTACCAAATTAAGCTTGCGTTTAGCAGCTTGTTTGCTATAAAAGCCCGCGTGTGAAAGCTTGACATACACTACTGTTAGTTGAGTTTCTGTTTTGATTGAGAGTCGAGAGCACCAGGTCGAGAGTCGAGACTACCCTTTATCTGAGTATCCAATTATAGTTTCTAWGATTTCTGAGCATAATTAATTTCCTCAAATATAAATCAATAAATATAAATGAGAGCGTACATATATAATAACACTGATGATCATGGGATAATAAGGCGGTCTTCTCCGATGTCATTAGGCTAATTATGATTCATTGCACCATTCAATGATTACTGTACCCTGCTTACAAGGTGTATTGGTTTGTTCTTTTTCTGTGTTCTCGAGCTCCACTGAATTTCTTTAGCCGTCGCCTTAGCAGCTGGGGCCAAGCAATTACTGTGGGTAATTTGCAAAGCATTTTAAGGCTTTGATAGGAATCTAACATACAATGCCCTTCTGAATAAATTCACTAGTCTGACGTCAATCATTCACTGGCAAAAAAGATTTGTGCTGCTGCTTCTCCTGGCGTTTAGCACGAAAAAAATAGCTAKCACGATAATTCAATCTCAGTATATATATTGCTCTTCTTTTGTTTCACTGCATGAGTTCAAACTCTGAAAACCCTTTATTACATCCATTTTGAAATCACTACCAAATCCTGCAATCTGATTGGTTCCCTGCAGCAGTGATTTCAGCATAAATTGCACGATTTTGAGCTCTAAATTGCACGACTTTGCACATCAACTGATATGAACCAATCACAAGAGAGACATGTCATTTTCTAGCCAATTATATCAAGGAATCCATCTGAGTGTTGGGCTCAACGCTTCTTGCGAAAAAAAAGAGCCACGGCTCAAAAAATTTTTTCTGAAGAACGATTTTACCGTCAAAAGTTGTAAAAAAAGACTGAAAAAGCCATAAAAAGAACTTAAAAAGACCAACTGATCACTTAAAATTGTCAAAAGCATCTTTGTAAAGTAACTGCTTAAGTAAGTTGAAGATATTACAGCGAAAAGCAGTGGGGGAAAATGCAATCGGCATCTTTTGAATGTGACTTCTTGGCGATTGATCGTGGTAAAAGTGGTTTCCTTTCAATCTGTAAAGCATAACAACACATCGACGAAAATACAGTCATTAAAAGAAGTTTTTCTTAAGAAGAAGATTTTTGCTGAGCTACGTGACTTCTTAAGGACAACCGAAGGACTAAACAACCTTTGATTTTTGTTGTTTTCTCGGCACAAGTGTGATCTTAACATGTTGAACAGAAATCGTAAAAACACAAGCAGTGAGCATTGGCTGTATGGACAACAGCCAGTTCATTACAACCCTTTTGGGCAGGATTGTTTTGCTATTTAATGTAAGTAAACGATTCTTAATACATGTAATGCCTTTTGGTCCTATATAAATTCATTTTAGTTTTGGATTGAAAGTGTTGGTTTTCAAAATGAGAATCATTGCTCGATCAGTATAAACAAGTTCTCTTGACAGCATGTTTGAATCGACTGCTTATAGATTGTAAGTCATATCGGTTTAACTGGAAAAAACGTCTTTTTCAAAAAAGATTTCAAAATGGATATAATAAAGTGGTAATTGAACTTCGTGTCGTGCAATTTTGGTCTGAAATCAAACTTGCAATTACAAATCGCACTCCCGCTACGCGGTCGTGCGATTTTGTAATCGCGCGTTTGATTTCAGACCAAATTGCACTCCACTCAGTKCAATTACCATTATTAATTGAAATCGAACAGATTTCGGCTATTTATACAATGTAAGATCTTTTAAGATCTGATGCTATACRAGCTGTCATTGATTGTAAAGCTGTGCTATATGAAACTCAATATCTTCCAAGAATCCGGAAAACAAGGGGAAAAAGACTGCTATCTGCGCAGATACACAACTATATATATATATATTTAACTATTTTCTAAATAACGCATGTGAAATGACACGTTTGAATATTTAAGTGAGTGTAGAGGGAAAAGATCACGTAGCGCAATGACGCGATGTCAGTGTTATTATATATGTACGCTCTCGTTTATATTTATTGATTTATATTTGAGGAAATTAATCACGCTCAGAAATCACAGAAACTATAATTGGATACTCAGATAAAGGGTAGTCTCGACTCTCGACCTGGTACTCTCGACTCTCGACCAAAACAGAAACTCCTGTTAGTTTTTCTTCTCGTGTGCTAAATAAGCCGACTTTGTGCAACAATACTTACCTCATAAAGCTTCTTTTTAGATTAATCTTCCAGGGAACGCCATATTAACTTCATATGAATTCAAAAATTCGTATTCTTACACGATATCTTTGCTCATCTTGCTCCTCGTTCATCACCTTCTCACTTGCTKTGATTTTTGGTTTGTTTTATGTACCTTGACGCCCTTCAATGTCCCTTGATGTCCCTTTACGTTCTTTCACCACAGGGAGACCAATTTAGATAAACTCGAGAGGTGAATATAAAATCGGGAGGAAATTTGACTTTAATTTTCTTTTTATTCGAGATCCAGATAAAATCCTACATAATRAAAACCAGTGAAAAATTCAATAATGAATATTTTTTCGTGCAAGTCTTTGTTTTCGACGGGTCATGACGGGCTTAGTTACTGGCGTGAAGCAGCACTTTCAAAGTGCTGGTCTCAGATTTCGTTTCTATTTAAAAGTATGGACTACCTGTGGTGCGACAAGGTCTTGGCGCGAATTAATTGCCCTGCGGTTTTTAAGTTTGGTGAGATTCTGTGGAACCAATTCTAATCGATTTAAAGAATTATTTTATAGAGAAACTTCAAGCCATGTTTTCATGGAATTAATAGGTAACTTTACTTTTWAAAAAAATTACGATCAAGAGCTTGTTTGAGTAGGTATCATGTTTAGGTCACCCATCTGTAATAATATATACTTGTCACGCAACATTAGGCTCTATTATGTAACAAATGTAATATGACTCTCTCTCCCCTCTCTCTACACACATTGTATCAAGTTAAGCACCAGAATAAGTATGCCGAATTAATCATCATTAAAGCAAGCAATCATAATCAAAGCCTCCACTAAATATCATGACACCATCCAAATACTAACCCCCCTCTGCCGGGCTTGACTTGGTATCTGCAAGGTGATGCCCACGTTTTTACCACTGAGCCACGAATCTACAGAATCAGCATAACATTAGGCCGTGAAAACAATGCACCAGATAGACTAGACTTTTTAACAGCATTTTTTTAACCGATTCCGTGCGTGGCAGAGATGCAAGGGATTAGCCGATATGGTCTGGGGGCCGGCTGGTCTCTCCCCTGATGCTTCGGCTAGAACATTT